ATTGCGGAGGAATAGAGTGTTGGTCGTGAAATAGAAGGCGCGTTGGTGTTCATCGGGTGTGTCGTCTCTGCAGTATAGCTAGAGATAGTGTCTAATGTCTCAGTTGTTAAGGAAGCTGACGATGCCGTGGTGTCAGAGACAGGAGAGGCATTGCAAGTAAAGGTCGGAGTAACTATGGAGACAACCAAAGAGGTCTGAGAGGGGCGAGGAGTATGAACCTGGAGAGATGCGTTGGCTGTGGGAGAAGAGTCCTGTAGTGTAACAGGAGAGGAAGGAGGTTGAAGGGTAACTATGGAGGAAAATCAGGGGGGGGGGGAAGAGGGAACTACACAAAGGGGGGGGTTGAGCCTCCACCTTCGTGTGAGAGCTGGAAAGGGGATGAGAACAAGGCTCGGAAGTAGAAGATAAATTCTGTACAGGTGATGGACGCGAAGAAAGTGTAGGTCTGCGAGGTCTTGTAGACTGAGAAGCAAGCGAACGAGATGAAGAAGTAGAAGTGGTGCGGAGGTAAGAGTGTCAGAGGATAAAACTGCAAACAAATTAGAAACTTGGGTGACCCCGGAAGGCACGGACGCAGAGGGATTGGGAGGCAGGAGAACCATCGAGGTTAGAGGTCTTCGGGCTACTCGAGCATATGGGACACAAGGAAGTTTTCCTTGAAGGCAAAGCTGAGAGACTGTCATGGTGTAAGGCCCTCACGCTCCTTAAGATAACAGATCTCTCATTCATTACGATAGTCCTGGCAATGGCGTGAAAAGGAAGGATGAAGCTCTGTGCAATTGAGACAAGAGGGAGGAAGACTACAAGATGTATTGGAATGATCTGCTGCACCGCAGACTGGGCATTCCACCGCAGATCTGCAGTGTTTAGCGGGGTGCACAAACACCAGCAGTTACGACACTGTTGGGGAGTGGGAACTACTTGACGAACCTCTAGGTGATGGCCCGCAATACAGGTCTCCCTCAACACTCGTGAGGGTTAGGGGATCAAGAGCCTCGCGAATGTTGAAAAACCGTGAATGTTTGGTGCCCCAATATATTGTATGGAAATATAATACAATACTGCTTCCTTAACTTGTTGAACCATGAGCAATCATAAAATACATGAAAACGTCGTAAATTGTACTAAATATTTACATGATATGCTTTAATAACATGTATGTTATTAAATACCACAGACTCCACCACTGCCTCCACCAATGCCTCCACCAATGCCTCCACCAATGCCTCCACCACTTCCTCAACCACTGCGAGTCCCTACTACCCTCCCTCCGACCCCACAACTAGCAGCCAGCCCTCCCACCACTCAGTGTGGTGAGTGTTTTGTTTGTTCATTATTTGCTATTAAACTACAGTATAAATAATGTCAACCCATTCATGACTGCATATTGGAATGGCTATTCGGAAAGGTATTAGACGGTGACATCATGTGTTTACTCTTGAACACAGCAAAGAATCGAACATTTCTGCTACTGCTAATAATAACAATAATAATAATAATAATAATAATAATAATAATAATAATAAATACGATATAATTGAAGAAGGAAATTGTACAAAAATACAAGGGAATGGTTGACACATCGTCAGTGTGACTTTGTTTATGCTGGAGTGAGCATTAGTCTCCCTGCTCTTCCAAACATTTCACAATAATTCAGCGGTTGAGGCAGTGGTATTTAATAACATATATGTTATAAATAATAATAGTACATATTATTAATAACATGTATTATTATTATTATTATTATTATTAACATGTATGTTATTAAATACCATTGCCTCAATCGCTGCCTCAACCGCTGCCTCAATTGCTGCCTCAACAGCTGCCTCAACAGCTGCCTCAACAGCTGCTCAACAGCTGCCTCAACAGCTGCCTCAACAGCTGCCTCAACAGCTGCCTCAACAGCTGCCTCAACCGCTGCCTCAACCGCTGCCTCAACTGCTGCCTCAACCGCTGCCTCAACCGCTGCCTCAACCTCTGCCTCAACCGCTGCCTCAACAGCTGCCTCAACAGCTGCCTCAACCGCTGCCTCAACCGCTGCCTCAACTGCTGCCTCAACAGCTGCCTCAACCGCTGCCTCAACAGCTGCCTCAACCACTGCCTCAATCGCTGCCTCAACCGCTGCCTCAACTGCTGCCTCAACCGCTGCCTCAACCTCTGCCTCAACCGCTGCCTCAACAGCTGCCTCAACAGCTGCCTCAACCGCTGCCTCAACCGCTGCCTCAACTGCTGCCTCAACAGCTGCCTCAACCGCTGCCTCAACAGCTGCCTCAACCACTGCCTCAATCGCTGCCTCAATCGCTGCCTCAACAGCTGCCTCAACCACTGCCTCACCCACTGCCTCAACCACTGCCTCACCCACTGTCTCACCCACTGTCTCACCCACTGCCTCTACCACTCCAGTCGCACTCAATCTACAAGCACCAAACATAATGAATTATTGTGAAGTGTTTGGAAGAGCAGGGAGACTAATGCTCACTCCAGCATTAACAAAGTCACACTGACGATGTGTTAACCACTCCCTCCTATTTTTGTACAATTTCCTTCTTCAATTATATCGTATTTATTATTATTATTATTATTATTATTATTATTATTATTATTATTATTATTATTACTACTACTACTACTATTGTTATTATTAGCTGTAGCAGAAATGTTTGATTCTTTGCTGTGTTCAAGAGTAAACACATGATGTCACCATCTAATACCTGTCCGAATAGCCATTCCAATATGCAGTCATGAATGGGTTTATATTATTTATACTGTAGTTTAATAGCAAATAATGAGCAAACAAAACACTCACCACACTGAGTGGTGGGAGGGCTGGCTGCCAGTTGCTGGGGTCAGAGGGAGGGTAGTAGGGACTCGCAGGTGGCGGGAAATTTAAATATGATTTGGCGGCTGGGAATTTGGTGGCTGGGAATTTGGCAGTTGGGAATTCACGAATGTGTGAAGCCCGTGAAAGTTGAAAATGTGAATGTTGAGGGAGACCTGTATAGACAGAGGATGGAAGTTCCCGGCAGTTGAAGGTTAAACGAGCATTGTTACTGGGAAAGCGCCTCCGCCCATGAGCAGGCAGGATGTATGTATCTACCTTAAGAAATGGGAGGTTCTCAAGGGCTAATACATGTAGTTCTAAAATATCATAGCCGCAAGACAAAAAAATCACTCAGTACAGTGGTACGTGGTAAGACCACAGTACCACCGCAAGAATTAAGAGTAGCGTGCTTATGAACGGTGACTCGTATGTTATCTATGGAAGTGATGCGGGAGAGAGAATGAGCTTACTCTGAATTCTGTACTGTTATGGCGAGCACTGCTTCGAAGAGTGTGGAGGGATATATTTTGGCCTACTTGCCATAAAAGAGTTTTACCAATTCCATGATTAGAAAGATAATCAGTTTGAGACGTCGTTTGTGAAGAAAAGAATTTTGTCCATTGGGTACTTGTTAGCCCGTTATGCAAAGGTAATGAGTGTCGCATAGGTCATTTTTGAGCAATCATCGATGAACTGTCGTAAGTAAGTTGTCTTGGACGTTAAGAAGTAGTACCATGGGTGGTCTAACCTGAGGGAGGTGGGTGATCTGAAAACCGCCGCACCGTATTCGGGAAGCCGGACACATTGTGAAAGGCATGGTAGCAGTAGTGGCATTCACAGAAACGGGTGACACCACAGCACCTGAAGCAGGTGACAAAGCGTCACTGGCAGAAGGTACAGGGGTATGAGAAGAGTCGAGAGAATGGACTGATAATGAAGCCGGGTCAGAACAGGGTGTGGGATCAGAAAGGGGTATGGGAGGAGGAAGGGTTTCACTGGGTGAAGACTCCATTATAAAGGTGCTTTTGTGATATCACCTTTCTTTTTTCTTACAATAACAAGAAAGAAGGAAAGAAAAAAAGAGGGACAGCAGAGAGACAGTCACTAGGAGGCATGGAGGGGCCTGAAGCTCCTCCTCTCATCTGAGAGGACCTCAAGCCCACGGGTGGTGAAGATGCAATGTGGAACCCATGCCATACCCTACCCTTCACACTAGTAAACCAGTGCTGCGGGATAGCAGCCTCACATCTACCGAGCTACCTCAGCAGACAAAAGAAAGGGCAGTCAGAAACCCACCTCCCAAAACCAACAGGCAGCTTCCGGAGATACACCCATTACCCGAAGGGCACCTCGCCCACTTCCTGGAAATCTGTGAAGGAAGCGGGGCATCTTCAGACAATTCAGATTCCACGGCAAACCACACCATCCCCGAGGGACCTTACGGAGTGGGTCGAACCCTGGCATGCCACTCCCTACCTAGAAACTGTAATGCTAAAGGGGAGAACCCCAGAGGCTACAAATGGGATGGGAAACAAGGGGAGGGTGGGGAGAGGGGGGAAAAGGGGGGGATGGGATAGGGAAGGGAGGATTGGGGTAATTAGGTTCAGTCGGAGGAAGAAGACCTAAAGGTCCAATTCCTCAGACCGATAGCCTCTTTACCGCGCAACGAGGAGCCCCCCCCCCCTATAAAGAGGCGGCACCTGGAAAATGAAAGTTAATTAGGTTTGATTCATGGGGAGGGTTAGCTCCGTTTCCTTACCTGGAGAGTGGTTTGGGAGTCAGTGCCCCTGCGGCCCACTCCATGACAGGCCTTGCAGTGGGTCATGGCCTCATCAACCTGGCTGTTACTGCTGGCCACACGGAAACCGATGTACGAACTACAGTCCAGGTGGTCAACTTCCTCTTGAAGACAGCCAGAGGTTTATTGGTAATCCCTCTTACGTATACTGGGAAGCAGTTAGTCTTGAGGGGGATTTCTCAGTACAGCATGTAAATAAATTTTTCATCCTTTTCACTTTTGCATATTTTTATTTGATTTTAATTTTAATTAGTTATTGTCTGTAAAAAAAAAAGTGTATTTACCAAGTATTCTATATAGCTTGCTAACCAGATTAGTGACAATTGTGGTCATTTAAATAGTGAAAGTTTTCATGCTCTAAAAATGTGATTAATTGCACAGAGCTGATGCAACAGTATCTCCAGCAGTTGAGGCAAGAAACAGGTCTTCGTGTTTGTGAGCGAGTCTTCAACACCCCGGATGGCAAGCCTTCAAAGTGGTGGCTTTGCTTCACCAAGAAGAAATTCATGGACAAATCTTTGCTGGCACCAAGTGCTTAACATTTTCTAGGCTTAATCAAATGACAATATAGATTAAAAATACAGTGATTTGAACTTTTAAGCACAGTACAGTATATCACATCCTTTATACGTGGTTTAATTTGTTTTTATTCGGTTATATTTTAATGTATTTACTTTTATTTAAAACAGATGACAGTAAAATGAATAATGCATTTTATTCACAAATTCTTGTGAGAGTTATCCTTAGTATTTACAAAGGTGCATAATGGCTCATAGCCTAGAGTTGATTTTCATTTTTTTTTTTTGTTATTGGCATTATCTATTCATGTACAACAGTGATGATTTAATATATGGGTGACGTACTATCATATTTTATTCATGTGAACTATAAGAGTAACTACCTTGATTAATAATTAGCCCATGCATTTTCCATATAATAATTTCTTGTTATAGAGAGACCACATTATAGTAGAGTAACCCTTCTGTATATTACTTTAATTTTCATGAATTCCCTTCCCCCCCCCCTCTTTTTTTTTTATCTTAATGTATAACTTTATATGTAGGACAACTTCCATGATTAATAAAATTTCTAAATGAATTATATGATTTTTGACTCCAGAAATGTCAGATGATTTGTACCTCTGGGGAATGACAAGGCTGCAAGAGCACCATGTGCAATTGTAAGTGATAAATGGTTTAGAAAATTGACAAATTGAAGAATGAGACACTCGTGCAACATTTGGGAATCTTTATTGAAACATTTGACCACACAGTGGTGTCATTAGTCTTATACAAAGAAGAACAGTGGAGAAAGAAAAGTTTAAAGTAATTAGTCCCTCACCCTGGAATCAATGTGTTTACATTGATTCCAGGCTGAGGGACTGATTACCTCAAACTCCTCTTTTTCCATTGTTTTTCTTTGTATAGGACTAATGAAGCGACGGTGTAGCAAAATGTTTCCTCAATAAAGATTCCCAAGTGTTGCACGAGTGTTTTATGCAACTACGTATTTTAAGTAAAAGAATTAAGTGCAACTAACAATGAACACTGAACATATAAAACTTAAAACGTGTGATGTAGTCTAGTAGTAGAACACACATAGCGGAAGTGTGCTACAAACAGGTATTAGGCTTACCTTCAACCTTGCTAAAATAGTCATGTTATGGGTTTAGCACTTACTTTTGACTAATAATAATACAATCATTTTAACATTATTATTAATTATATTACATTCATGAGGAAGCAGCTCTAGGGTCCTCTCAAGGAAGGTTCCTTGATGCTGGTCAGGCTCTAGCTCTAGGGTCCTCTCAAGGAAGGTTCCTTGATGCTGGTCAGGCTCTAGCTCTAGGGTCCTCTCAAGGAAGGTTCCTTGATGCTGGTCAGGCTCTAGCTCTAGGGTCCTCTCAAAGGAGATGTTCACTTGAGTCTTGGTCGATGCGTCAGGCTCTAGCTCTAGGGTCCTCTCAAGGAAAGTTCCTTGATGCTGGTCAGGCTCTAGCTCTAGGGTCCTCTCAAGGAAGGTTCCTTGATGCTGGTCAGGCTCTAGCTCTAGGGTCCTCTCAAGGAAAGTTCCTTGATGCTGGTTAGGTTCTAGCTCTAGGGTCCTCTCAAGGAAGGTTCCTTGATGCTGGTTAGGCTCTAGATCTAGGGACTTCTCAAGGAAGGTTCCTTGATGCTGGTTAGGCTCTAGCTCTAGGGTCCTCTCAAGGAAGGTTCCTTGATGCTGCTCAGGCTCTAGATCTAGGGACTTCTCAAGGAAGGTTCCTTGATGCTGGTTAGGCTCTAGCTCTAGGGTCCCCTGAAGGAAGGTTCCTTGATGCTGCTCAGGCTCTAGATCTAGGGACCCCTGAAGGAAGGTTCTTTGATGCAGGTCAGGCTCTAGCTCTAGGGACCCCTGATGGAACGTTCTTTGATGCTGGTTAGGCTCTAGCTCTAGGGACCCCTGATGGAAGGTTCTTTGATGCTGGTCAGGCTCTAGCTCTAGGGACCCCTGAAGGAAGGTTCTTTGATGCTGGTCAGGCTCTAGCTCTAGGGACCCCTGAAAGAAGGTTCTTTGATGCTGGTCAGGCTCTAGCTCTAGGGACCCCTGAAGGAAGGTTCCTTGATGCTGGTCAGGCTCTAGATCTAGGGACCCTTCAAGAAGGTTCTTTGATGCTGGTCAGGCTCTAGCTCTAGGATCCTCTCAAGGAAGGTTTCTTGATGCTTGTTTGGCTCTAGCTCTAGGGTCCTCTCAAGGAAGGTAAAGTGATGCTATTTAGGTTCTAGTTTTATGGTCCTCTCATGGAAGGTTCCTTGATGCTGGTTAGGCTCTAGCTCTAGGGTTGTCTCAAGGAAGATTTCTTGATGCTGGTTAGGTTCTAGCTCTAGGGTCCTCTCAAGGAAGGTTAAATGATGCTGGTTAGGCTCTAGCTCTAGGGTCCTCTCAATGAAGGTTTCTTGATGTTGGTTAGGTTCTAGCTCTAGGGTCCTCTCAAGGAAGGTTCCTTGATGATGGTCAGGTTCTAGCTCTAGGGTCCTCTCAAGGAAGGTTCCTTGATGCTTGTTTGGCTCTAGCTCTAGTGTCCTCTCAAGGAAGGTTAAGTGATGCTGGTTAGGTTCTAGCTCTAGGGTCCTCTCAAGGAAGGTTCCTTGATGGTGGTTAGGTTATATCTCCAGGGACCTCTCAAGGAAGGTTCCTTGAAGCTGGTTAGGTTCTAGCTCTAGGGTCCTTTAAAGGAAGGTTCCTTGATGATGGTTAGGCTCTAGCTCTAGGGTCGTCTCAAGGAAGGTCCCTTGATGCTCGTTAGGTTCTAGCTCTAGGGTCCTCTCAAGGAAGGTTCCTTGATGCTGGTTAGGTTCTAGCTCTAGCACCCTCTCAAGGGAGGTTCCTTGATGCTTGTTTGGCTCTAGCTCTAGGGTCCACTCAAGGAAGGTTCCTTGACACTGGTTAGGTTCTAGCTCTAGGATCCTCTCAAGGAAGGTTTCTTGAAGCTGGTTAGGCTCTAGCTCTAGGGTCCTCAAGGAAGGTTCCTTGTTGCTGGTCAGGCTCTAGCTCTAGGTCCTCAAGGAAGGTTCCTTGATACTGCTTAGGTTCTAGCTCTAGGGTCCCCTCAAGGAAAGTTCTTTGATGCTGGTTAGGTTCTAGCTCTAGGGTCCCCTCAAGGAAGGTTCCTTGATGCTGGTTAGGCTCTAGTTCTATTGTCCCACTCAAGGAAGGTTCCTTGATGCTGGTCAGGCTCTAGCTCTAGGGTTCTCTCAAGGAAGGTTCCTTGATGCTGGTCAGGCTCTAGCTCTAGGGTCCCCTCAAGGAAGGTTCCTTGATGCTGGTCAGGCTCTAGCTCTAGGGTTCTCTCAAGGAAAGTTCTGTGATGCTGGTTAGGCTCTAGCTCTAGGGTTCTCTGAAGGAAGGTTCCTTGATGCTGGTTAGGCTGTAGCTCTAGGGTCCTCTCAAGGAAGGTTCCTTGATGCTGCTCAGGCTCTAGATCTAGGGACTTCTCAAGGAAGGTTCCTTGATGCTGGTTAGGCTCTAGCTCTAGGGTCCCCTCAAGGAAGGTTCCTTGATGCTGCTCAGGCTCTAGATCTAGGAACCCCTGAAGGAAGGTTTTTTGATGCAGGTCAGGCTCTAGCTCTAGGGACCCCTGATGGAAGGTTCTTTGATGCTGGTCAGGCTCTAGATCTAGGGACCCTTCAAGGAGGTTCTTTGATGCTGGTCAGGCTCTAGATATAGGGACCCCTCAAGGAAGGTTCTTTGATGCAGGTCAGGCATCAACTCCATATTCATTCATTTCTTTTTGGATTCCTGGGGTGGCACTAAAGGCACAAGAGCACCTGGCGGAGTGGCAGGCAAACTGACTTGATCCAAGGAACGAGAGAACAGCTGCAGTTCCTTGGATCAAGAACAGAGTAAACAGTGAACTACAAGGTGATAAATGAAAGAGAACATTAATGTGCCCTCATCAAACAGCCAAACAGTAACTACAACAAATAGATATAATACAAATAGACAGACCTACTTTAACCCTTTGACTGTCGCAACCCCCAATCCTGAGGTGTCTCCTGGTGTCACAAAATTTAAAAAAAAATTATTTTTTTCTTATGAAATGATAGAGAATCTTTTTCCGATTGTAATGACACCAAAAAAACGAAATTTGATGGAAAACTGACGGAATTATGCTCTCGGGAAGTTAGCGACCTTGGCGATATTTACAAATCGGCGATTTCGCCCACTTTGAGCCCTATTTTCGGCTAATTGCATTGTTCCAGTTGACCAAACTCATAGCTCTTTCTTTAGAACTCCATTTTTTCTATCGATTAAGTACAAGAAACTGCCCATTTACCGATTTCAACTACCCAATAATGTGGTCAGAAATTTGCAATTTGGCCAATTTCACGAAAATTAAAAAAATATGACAATTTCAAAATAAGGTCCAGAATGAACAATGCAGACATTCCTGGCTCTAAAATAACATTTTCTTTCTTCATCAGTCATGTCTACAGGCCCCTCTGATATTACTCTTGCTTTCTATTTTGAATTTTTATTCAAACAAAAAATAGAAGACTTACTATTATGCAGACTACTGCAATACTGTAATAATTGTATAAATAACATCAACCCATTCATGACTGCATATTAGAATGGCTAGTTGGACATTTATTGGACAATGACATCATTTGTTTACTTTTGAACATTGGTAAAAATCAAACATTTTCCATATTTTGAGCTCCATTTCCAGGTTCTTTTTATAGTAAAATCAATCAAAATCACCTCTACTTCTATAATATGTTTTCCATTCTATCAAATGAGGTCAAGAAAATGAGAATACAACCATAAATACTATACGAAAATAGACCACAAAGTCGGCATTTTAATTAAAAAAAATGGTCGGAGTTTTTTTTTTCTCATTATGCACTGCGTGCTCCAGGATTTTTTTTATATGGTGCACACTGACCACACAGACCCATTCTCTCACATGTTGGCCTACCAGCTTTCTCCTGTTTGATTTGAAGCCGCTAGAATTTATGAGTATATATATGTCAAACACGGTACCTCGTAAGACATATATTTACGGCCGCGACAATCAAAGGGTTAAGGTGGTTATTAGTAAAAAAAAAAAAAAAATATACAGTGATCCACAAACCGGATTCGTTGAAGAAGTGAGTGATAAAGGACTGGAGTGAAATGGATTCATTGGAATAAATAAAATATATGTAGGTTGGTAGACAGCAACCACCCAGGGAAGTACTACCGTCCTGCCAGATGACTGTGAAACAGAAACCTGTAACTGTTTTGCATGATGGTAGGATTGCTGGTTTCTTTTTTCTGTCTCATAAACACGCTAGATAACAGGGATATCTTGCTACTCCTACTTACACTTTGGTCACACTTCACAGACACGCACATGCATATATATATACATACATCTAGGTTTTTCTCCTTTTTCTAAATAGCTCTTGTTCCTCTTTATTTCTTCTATTGTCCATGGGGAAGTGGAAAAGAATCTTTCCTCCGTAAGCCATGCGTGTCGTATGAGGCGACTAAAATGCCGGGAGCAATGGGCTAGTAACCCCTTCTCCTGTAGACATTTACTAAAAAAGAGAAGAAGAAAAACTTTATAAAACT